GAATTAGAGGTCATCCCTGAAGTTGATCTCTACAAGTGTGAGCCATGGGACTTACCAGGTATACTCCCTCTGACCAGTATTTATAATTTGTTTTTCCAGTACTGTCTTCTTTCCCTTTCTTTCTCATTGTTTTATTAATTACTTATCTATTTATATATTTATTCTTTCCTTCGTTATTTTGTTTAAGTGTTAGCTTGTTAATTTGTTCAAGCACATCTCTTTTTATCTCTCACATTCCTCCCGTTAATTTCTGTCATTGATCTTCATTAATTCATTCAATCCGATGTTCGAAAATTGAGAGGCATGTGCGTAAGTTAACAAGAGTAGTGCTGCACCACCCCCTAATGTAATGCTTCAGATGAAATAACATCATTTTAGTCTTTAAAATTGTTAGTTCTCCTACAATCCCTTATTTATAAATTTGTTCATAGCAGTTTCGTGCCAAATTATTAACACGAACATAATTGAATAATTGATTATGACCGATGTTTTATGTAAAAAAGGAATTCGATCTTTTGCCTTCTTTGGGCACCCTTATCCTTTATTTGTGTTCAACTACGCTCGTATCGGAATACTTAACAATGAATTAAGTACATGTTTATTTATTTATTTTTTTTTTTTTTTTTGTAACTAATGATGAAATACTTGCTTTACTTTTGTGAGTCAAATATGCTGAACTTTTAACCTTTAAATATCCATTAGGGTTTTTAATAATAAAAAAAAAATTGAGTGTAAAGAATACTTAAAACCACCGACACACCGGTCCCTCGATCTTTAGGGTTCCTGTTGTGAACACCAAGTTTTGTAGTAAGACAAAGAAAGAACCAAGTCAAAAAAGCTAGCAGGGAAAAAGAAAAGGATTGCTTTTTGTGTGCGATAGGTATTGAGTTCCAAGCAATGCTTTCCATGCACTTCTTCCTTCACAACCCTTTAAATTCTTTTATTACATTATTGGTTCTTAATTAATTAAACTTGTGAGTGACGTGTTCCCAAGATTAGATTCTGGGCTACGGAGGCCTTGAAAAGAACAATCATATACAGTCTTAGTGTTATGTTAAAGCTTCCACAAAGAATGTTCTTAATTATTGATAATATTATATGTTGATAATTAAGCCATGCAACTGCTTGTATGTTTATCCACTTGCTACTCCAAATGAAAATATACGTTTTTGTCTCCAATTTATGATATGAGAAGCGTTTATTGTATGGATGCTTTATTTTTTAAACACGTAACAAACATCTATTAGTCAGGTACCGTCATTGAGACTATATCTTGATTGTAAGAGAGAATCGATCTCCTCCAAATGACAATGTTTTCTTAGTACTTTCTTATGTCGTCGTTGGTATAGTTATTATTTTTGTTGTTATTTTTTAGGGAGTAACGGTGGACAAACCACAATTTTAGACTATATTTTCCTGACACTTCATACCAAATCAGTAACCACATTGATTATGAAATGTGATCCCCTATAGTCATTCCTTTCTCTGGCTTTAATAACTTACTCACTGTAACCAATTTAAAACAAACTGAAATATTGCCGTATATAGGAAAGTCATTATTGCCTAGCAAAGATCTGGAGTGGTATTTCTTCAGTCCGCGAGATCGGAAGTACCCTAACGGATCGAGGACTAATCGTGCAACTAAAGCCGGATATTGGAAGGCGACGGGAAAGGATCGGAAGGTAAACTCTCAGACGCGTGCTGTAGGCATGAAGAAAACCCTAGTTTATTACAGAGGAAGGGCACCACATGGGATTCGAACAGATTGGGTTATGCATGAATATCGCCTCGACGAGAGGGAGTGCGAAACTGCACAAGGCTTGCAGGTTCAGGTTCTTTTCTAATTCTTTCTCAAAATTCACAGTTTGAAATTTCATGGTAATAAAAACCCTCATGCAATTAATTACAGATTTTTGAAACATATATATGCATTCGTACAGGACGCATATGCGCTATGCCGTATTTTTAAGAAGACTGCAACGGGGCCAAAGATAGGAGAGCATTATGGTAGCACAAGTACTACTAGTTACCAGCTAACCAGTGACCATTCATCTAGCGTTAATGAACTGTATTCTGATGGAGGAAGATGTGAAGATTTCGAGAGCTCAAGTTATCCGATGCAAATGAACAATGCATGCTCTTCATCACCAAACTTTGTTCATACAAACTCACTTGATGACATGGGTAGAAAAAGAGATGGAAAATGGACACAGTTCTTATCGAAAGACGCTTTTAATTGCTCGTCCTCATTTTCTCATATTTCTACTCATGGAAACATTCCCTACCCTCCATCTAAGGTATTATTAATTTTCATTTTAATATATATGAAAAGTTATATAGAGAAATTATTACACAGTTAGACAAAAGTTATGAATTACTAACTTAAAGCGTAAAAAGAAACAAATATAATGATTCTGTTTGAGAGTTCAACAAAAGATACACGCTAGTTTTTTTGGACAAATGCATTTCCTTTATTCGTTTATTTTCCTCACAACATTTTCCTACTTGCAGGTTGATATTGCATTAGAATGTGCAAGGCTGCAGCATCGACTCTCACTTCCTCCATTAGAAGTGGAGGATTTCTCTCAAGTTGGACTCACCGACTTCAAAACGATGCAATACTCAAACCCTGCACCTGACACCACAAATACTGAAACTGATGCTTTGCAGGAAATTCTCTCAGTTGCACATGTTTCTCAAGAAATGATCAATCAATCCAGTAATCTTGTGGATCAGACATGGGGTGGAAACTATGCTCCTCCAGCCAATGACTTTAGCTTTATGGTTGACCGAGATGCTCAGTATAATCAGATTACTGGTCACATGAATTCTATGAGATATGTGGATGACAAAACATGGGGAAATTCGTATACACGGTCAATCGAGATTGGAGACCTGGAGGATGATTTTAGGATGGACAATACAGCCGAGAATCTAAGATGGATAGGAATGTCAGACAAAGATCTGGAGAAGGTATATTACAATTTAACTTATCAACTTACCATCCATCATACTTGGCGCGCATAAAAACATAAAACCAGCTTCTTGAAAATGCACTTTGACTAAAATTCAATGATCTCTTGCTAACCCTAATGCTAGATTTCCATTTAAATGCATTACCTTCATTTGTTATTTCTTGATATTAATATACATTCTCCCTTGTGATATTGGATAGAGTTTCACGGAGGAACACAAGATAGTTCCAATAGAAAACATTTCATCTTTTCGTAGGGAAGAACAAGAGCAACAGTATGAGATTCAAGGTATATGCAAGATTTGTATTTCTTAATTATCTTTCAGGTTTACACTTAGGTTATTGCAATTCTTCTTTATTTTCGGCTAACAAAAGATTCAATTGCAGGAGAAACCGGGCATCATAGTGGCTTAATCAAGGAACTCAATGATAATGAGGCAAATGATGATGATTTCTCACTTAGTTTCATCAATGAAGACCCGAACGAGAACTTCCTCCATGATGGAAACATGGATGATTATTCGCCTTCTCCAAGCTTTGAAGTCATCGAAGAAATTCAAGTTAATCACGGCATGTTTGTTTCAACTCGGCAGGTGGCTGAAACATTCTTTCACCAGTTAATGCCTTCACAAACAGTTAAGGTCCATCTAAACCCAGTTTTCGGCCAGAACTTTTTTGTAGAGAGAGTTGTTGCGCAAAAAAAGTCTGAGGATAGAGGTTCTTTGTTTGAGAGGTCCAAGGAACTTGTGATGGAAAAGTTCGACGGAATTGCCAAATCAACAAGGCCATGGAGGAAAATTGCAAGCACTCTTGTTTGTGCAGTTACACTTATATTGATGCACATGATCTTCTCTCTTGGGCAACATATGGAAGATGAGAAATTGATGGATGCCTTCACCAGAACTACAACTGCAACTAGTGTGGAAGAAAACGGCAATTCTGAAATTAGCAATAAGAAGAAGGGACTTGGATTAATTAAGTGGAGCAACAAAAAAGAAAAGGTTTGCTTGGTTAATATAAGAGGTGGGAATAGTTGTAGTGTGTTTCTGAAGAAGATGGGGATTTTCCTCACAGTTTCTTTGGCTCTAGGTACCATGTGGGCTAACCACAATATAATTTCCCCTTGAACTCAACCATTTTATTTCGGTTCTAACAATAGTTTGTCGGTTTGGGAGAGGGGACAATTCAGCCTAACCCATAGCTATAAGTTCATATATATCTTCACAATTTGTATTGTAAATTGACACAAAATCAAGTAAGATTTGTTATCCATCTATACTAAGAGAGATTTCCTGGTTTCCATTTACTTTCTTAATCATGCCAGAGGGGAGCATAGTTTCTGACCGTGTAATTAAAATTCATGGTAAATTTTGAATAGTTTGCAGTGCAACTCAACAAAATTCAATGATAAACTGAGCCCCACACAAATTTTACAAATTTCCCTCGACCTCCTAGTCCCTATACTACTTTTTAAAAATTTGTTGAACACTTTAAACGGAAAAAGAAAGGCAGTTCCCATTTGGGGCATTGGGAAACTAAATATATATTTCGTTGGGTTGCTACTTGCTAGAGCACATGAACATTTTCACTATTGGAGATGGTGGAGAGAGTTGTGTAGTACAAATCTTTGCAGAGCACATGACCATGTGGATGAATATGTTGGAAGATAAAAAGAGCATGCAGCAAAAGTGATGAAAAGAAGATGACAAATATACATATGCAACAAAACAAGAAATAATGGTTCACGGGTCACTTACTATATATCCTGTCCTGTCCCTCCCAATTAACAATTGGGGTGCTACACATCCTGCCAACTCACACTCACGTTCTCAATTCAAGATAGTCATTTGAAGCCACCGCCAATCCACTATTTTCATAGTAGGTAATAGGTAGGTCATTGTTCATCCCATGACTTTCCCTCTCATGAATTGTGATGAGAGCATATTCTAAACTAGAAGGATTAATAGAACATGGAAGGGATATGAATCATTCAATTCCAGCTTACTTTTACTTATATTTATAGTTTGTAGTTTTGTAATATTTTCGTTTTAGTTTTTAGTTTTCATTTTTCAGAGATAGAGAGAAAATATATGAAGACCATTTAAAAATAAGACCCTCTCTGTAAATCCTCAAAGAGGCTTGTAATATGCGCTGGCTCTGGAATGGGGTAGCCTCTCCTCCCCTAAACGTTTTACAAAAATGATGGTACGAATGATTTGGGAGAAGAAGAATGAATGAAACAAATTTGTTATTAGTTATCATTTTATATGGTATTTGATACCCATTTCTTGTAACTCCCTCCTATCATCATTCATCCATTATTCTTCGTCCCTCCCATTTTGTCGTATATTTTCTATACTTCTCTAACACCAAAATAAAAAATAAAAACTAATATAATTATGTGGAGTCCACCTACATGAATGGGCACTTCTTGAGAGCAAGTATGTCATGCTCTAAATGACTGCTAATTCACAAGCAACCTATAGAGACTGGCTAGAGAGCTAAGCTAGTTAATTTGAAGAGACGTTTGCTTTGTTGTTTCGTTTGGTGGCCGGCAGATACATATGGCTTCATCTTCTTCTTCTTATAGTTTTAAGAGCAGTTGGGTGCAAAGGTTCGTCCCTTTCTTCGTTGCGGTCTGGCTTTTCTTTAGCTATGATTGCCATGGAATAATTGGAGCAAATGCAGCCACAGCGCCTGTGAAAGTGAATGGCAATATTTCAAAGGTGGTAGACGCAGTTAATTTCCATATATACTATGGACAGACTTTCAAAGTCATCAAGAATTCCATTGACGGCAAGAGCTACCTTCTCATCCAGGTACCTTTTTCTTCTTCATCTAAGCCTCTATACATCCCTACTACTGCACTACAGAGGGCTGCAGGTTAATTTGTCATTCTTCAGAATACATAAGAATATAATTAATTAAATAGTTTTACTTCTTGGAAATCATACTTAGAAACTCCCAAATATATTTTAGCTTCTCTATATTTGCTTAGCAAAAGAACCATGCTTTGCTGCTTAAAGAAGAGCAGCAAGTACCGTTGAAAATCTAATCAGAAATGAACAAGTGTTTAAATAATTGAAATTGGAAACCATGGTTCAACACTGATTCATTTGTGATAGAGTTTCAGCAGCACTTAGTGCTCTCATATCGTATTTTTCTATAATACAAATACTCGTATAGTTAAGAATCTACTCTAACAATATCCTTAATTTATAAAATGCAGAACAATACAAGGATGGCAGCAAGGACAAAATATTGTACCTCGAGGATCAAATCATTTGTTATCCCATTATCAAATTATTCAATCGATGCCGATTATTTTCCAGGTATTATTGATTGCTACGGACTCCGTATTTTTCCCTATCAAAGCGAAATAATATTGTGTGTACGGGAAAATTTAAAGAAAATTGTGTGTATGGGGACGCCACTTGTACTAAAGCAAGTAAAGGATGATGAAATTACTCCTAAAATTAAACTAGCACCTAACCCTTGTCTGGGTTTTTTTGTTTTTTATTTTTATTTTTTTTGTTTTTTGTTTTTTTTTGAAAAACGATATTATCTCTATTAATTAATGAAACCCTCTTTGTCAATCAAAAGAGGGTGAAAAGACAATTTAGTCTTTTATCACAAAAAAAAAAATGATCGGCAATAATGTGATTTCACAGATTTAAATTTTGCTGTTTTTTATTGAAACCTTACATACATGTGATGTTAAAATATCTCTAATATTTAAAATAAAAAAATAAAAAAACGAAAAAAAAAAAACCTTCCACTCCCCCCCCCCCACCCCCCACGTTCTCTCTCTCTCTCTCCCCCTCCCTCTCTTCTTCTCATTTTCTAAAAAAATGTGTTCAAACACATAAAGTGAGTAAGTAAATACTAATCTATATTAAGAAAGTGAGGGAGTGGGATGTGAGTTGAAAATTAACATGAGGAAGAGATTTCACCCCGTAAATCATGTTCATGCCCGGTAGAGATGACTCCTTTACCAGGCTAGTGTGTTCTCCACGTTACACGTGATGAACTCACGTAAAACGATACATTGGGCCATACAAAGCGCAAAAGTCGTGAACTAGTTGGATTCAGAAACGAGGTTAGCCATGCTGGATAAGGCAAGAGGGATAGCCATCCCAAATTCCCAATAATCATGGCTCAGACAAAGGCTATGAGCATCGATGTTGTCAAGAGTCGCCCCTAATGGGACTCCTAATTGGTGCACCTCATCACGTCTCTCATGGTCAACAGTTGGCTAAATGGGCGAGATTACGGAGGGTTTGAACCAACTACTTGGGAAGCGTAACTCGTTTCCTAATGAATCATCTTGAAAACTATGTCTACCCCTATATAAAGGCATGACCATTTCCTTGAAACCTATAATATGAGATTCTTTCTTCCTAAAGTCAAGTCTTAACTTAAGCATTGGAGAGCCTTTGGCTCACACCACATCAGTGTGACAACGTTTCATTTGTTTTTTTCTTTTTTGGTTGTAGAGACACCATAGTAGTTATACGTTTGTGTGAAATTTGTTCCCCACGGTACCAATAAACTAGTTTTTCCTACAACTCTACAGGAACCTTTTTCTGTTGCACATTTTTCTATTTTATGATCTTTTGTCCTTAATTCAAGCTAACTTTTAATCCCTTTCTAAACATCTTCTTGTAAAATTGCAGTTTCCTTTTTCGAGGTGAGGATTGCCAGCTCCAATATGGCGTAATTCACATACAATTTCTAAATATCTTGTATCAATTTCATTTTTTGTTCTTTTTGCTTTATTTTCTGTACCAATATTAATTTTGTTATGCAGCTCCTGGGATTACTAGGGAGCTTGAAGGGCATTACATCAAACTCTGTGGCTTCTCAATGTGTTTTGAAATTGTATGAAGCTGGAGAAATTGATTTGATTCCCAATGGTGAGCCAGAACAAGTAGCAAAATTTGCAGCACATTTCATTACCAACATTGACCAACCACAGGCTTGCAATTTTGCCTCTTTTGTTCCTTATGGAGAGGATAACCCTTTGCAGGTTAGCACGTCATGTATGTATGTAACATTACATGTTCAAGTTTTCCTATGATTCATATATGCTATGGTATTACTCTTCATCTTGTTAAATGAGATCCTAATTAAGTACAATTAATTCTCCCACTCGCTCAAATAGAGATGTTAAGAAAAAAACTTGCAAGAATAATAGTTGAAAAAATAGGCATTGTTATTAAGTTATATAGGAAAGGGTGAGATAATAGAAAAGCCAAAAGAAACACTAATGTTAAATAAAGCAAACATTATCAATTTATCATGGTGATTATATATCTTTTCTCAAGCATATATCATGGAAATTAGTTTGTCCTCAAAATTATATGTAATTTTGTGGTATCATTTAGAGTAATTAAGCGATATTTCATGTGTCCATATGTAATTTTTTTGGTTTTTTTAGAGTAATTAAGCGATATTTCTTTCAATCCAATAAAATTTGTAGCGAATATGAACGAGTGGGTTGGCAGGCCAATAAAACTTCATGCAGGTAAATCCACTTAAGAAAAACTCCAAGGAAGGAAAAAGAGGGCGGGCAGGCCAACATACCCAAATCAAGGAAAGAAAAGAAAGCAGTAAAATGCTAATATCTGATTTTTCTGTGTTCTTGATAGAGAGCAGAGTGGATCAAGTTCTTGGGAGTGTTTGCAAACGTTGAGAGCAGAGCAAATCAAGTATATGATGCAGTAAGTATTATAAATACCGTTCTCTTTTACAGTCAATAAGAAACCACTGTATGTACACTGCAAAAATATTTCATATCCTTTCAATTTCCTTATGTTTTTCATATTCCTTTTAAAATGATAGGTCGTTAATTTTTTACTTCTAAAAACCAAGATATTTTCTGTAAGCTCTAAACGTGCAGGAAAACCCTAAGAAGTAAAACAATGAACTTTACTAACTATATATAAGCTTAAGATATATTAGGATAAAAAAAATATAAATATTAAAATAGCTACCTTGTTACGACTTCACCCTAGTCAAAGACCCCATCATCGTATGCACCAATAGGACCACCAAAAGTCTTTGTGGCACTACACAGAAATCATGGGTGATCATTGGTCTGATGCTTCGGGTGAAACCAATTCCCAAGGTGTGTAAAGGGGATACATATTCACCGCAGCACAACTAGCGTTTTCAACTTCATGTTCCCAAGTTGCAAAGAACAATCCGAAATATGGCAACCTATTTCAGGATTCTCTCCGCCTTACAAACTTGCTTCCCATTGTAATCGTCATTATATATTAAAAGTTAATATGATGTTTACGCTTGCACTAACAAATCATTTTTTTTTTTTTTTTAAATTATGCAGGTTACACAGAATTATCAATGCTTAACCAAACTTGCGAAAAACAGGACATCTTTCAAACCAACAGTAGCATGGATGGAGTACGATAATGTTAGTCGCAAGCACACAAAATTTCAGAGAGCAATAATAATCTCTTTTTGTTCTCCAACACTATTGAAAACCTTGGTTGTTTGGGAAGAAAGAATTAAAGTCTTGCATGAGAAGATTGTCAAATTATTAATAGGGAATTTGCATACTTCTACGTATAACATTAATTAATTGGAGTTCATTTTTGCAGGATACATGGTCTTTTGCAAAGGAAACATACAAATTGAAGGTCAGTAATTTTCAAATTCTTTAAAATTCAATCTTTTTCAAGGACTAAAGTTCAAAAATCTCATAAAAATATAACCTAATGTGAATAAAAACAAAAATCATTTTATTGATCAAAGATGAAATCTAATTTTCTATTTTAATTATTTTAACTGACCTTTGTGTGTTCAACTTTGGAACATGCAGTATGTGGAAGACGCATTTGGTGAAAATGTGGATGATTCTATCAACAAGAATACCTACAACATCTCTAGTCCTGACGATTTGGATGCACTGCATGCCATCCTATGTGTGAGTTCACAGTATAAATTTAATCATGACCACTCAAGCCCTAACTAGTTACGCATGTCACAATATACTTACCTCAGTTTATTTCTTCATGTAGACCGTGGATGTGGTCATTGATGAAACATACACTTGGGATCCAGTTATGTACAATTCCTCAACGTTTCTGCAAAATATAAACGTGGAAGATCATTCTTGTTTTGCTTTCCTCTCCAACCAAAGCATTTGGAGATACGATAAAAGAGTTCAGAACTCAACTGCCCTTGGTAAGTGTTTTTATACATATATTGCGTTCTTTTTTATATTTAACGTTGATTTTTTTTTTTTAAGGCAATTAAAATTGGATAACGATTTGGTCTTAAGCAATTGAAATAGTAATTTCACCGTGTGCTTTATATTTTAATGAATTATTATTTTCTATACCTTGTTATCGTTGAAATATTATTTTTTATACTTGAAAAATAGTGCATAATTGGTATCTGTATTTACATGTAAAGACTGGTACAATGGAGCAATCTCCCAGCCTCAACTGGTCTTAGCAGATCTCCTTGAAGTACTGTTCCCTACTGGAAATTATACAACAACATACTTCAGGAATATTGCAAAGGTACGTAGATCATCGTCTGATAAAATCACATAAAACTGTTTTTTTTTTTTTTTTTTTTTTTAACTCATAGATTTAAGCATCTGAACATGCAGGATGAAGGGGTTGTAAACATAACTTCTGAAATGTGTGACAGAGATATCTCCTCTGCAATGGAGCCTACATTACCAGCTTGTGCATAACTTACTGGTTGCATTTTTCTATTTCAATTAGTGGCCGTTGAATTTTCCTTCTACAAGTTTTTTGACATTCTTCTGCTCTGTTGCTTTGTTCAATTACTTTTTTAGAAGTACAAAGGTATAGAAGGGTTAAATTTCTTGAAATATCATTGTTAAATCTGTTATTGTAACATGGCCAAAGGCCCACATAATACTAGTATTAGTTTTTCTGCAAGCACTTCGTATACGTAAAACGCTTTTTTTTTTTTTAAATCACAGCGTGCTACGAGTAAGTTACAGTTTTTAGTGCATTAATCTTTGTGGTCACTCATATTTGAAAAAAGAATAGAAATTGGTTCTATATTTTTTTTGCACACCCTCTAAATTCATTTGTTCTACTTACTATTGTAGCAAAACAAAATCTTGTCAATATTATTCTGTCTTGAAACTCAAAAGTTGTCATTTTACTCCCTGCAAAACAATTTTGACAGAATAGACAGAATCTCACAAGAAAAGGAATATGGAGTCACAATGTGCAAAGTGACGACTTTTGAATTGCAGGAGAAAAGTAAAATCAAAGTCGAGGTTCAATAGGCGTAACTAAAAATAAGCTTTTTAAATATTGGCATGAACTTTTGATCATATTATTACTTTAGTGCAGACGTGGGCATTGTCATATTAGTTACAGCGGATGTACTTCTCACTATGCACTCGAGTTCAAATCTTCCTCATTACAGTTTAGATTAGTTCGAACCTTCCATCACTATGTACTCCTCAATATATGAAGATCCTCGTAGGTTACTGATTCTCATATACTCTACATAATCAACAAGAAATTATTTTGATTTCACCTGCAAGTCTGCAACTCCTGTAAATGTCCAAATAAAAACCTACAAATAGAAACCTCCTAGTAAAACGCAATCCCAAACAAACTTCAGTAATTCGTCCAAAACGTAAAATCTATGCAATGTCATTGCTTGAAATTCATATGATACACAACTGCAATACAATATTTACACAAATTGGTCGTTTTAAAGATCTATAAATAACAAAACAAAGCAAAAGATGCAAGAAAAACATATAGAAATCTCGATCTGGCCAGCCTAATGGCTAAAAAGATTGTCCCCAAAAAGATCAAAGCAGATACTAAGATGCATGGACAGACTTCTAGTATATGTGTCCTCCTGATGCACTCCTGTTCCAAGACAAGTACGATATATCCCCAAGAGGCCTGCATAAAAAGGGCGAAACAATTTCAAGCACATCTCAGTAGTAGCTTGCACATAGATACAACACTGCCGATTGTTTTCGATATATAGGGACAGTAATCCGCTAAATATTGGTTTCGTAGAGGAATTGATCCATTTTAGCAAAAAGACCAGTGTAAATTTACCGTAATTGTCTAAAACAGAATCAAGTTCTAGTTGATCATTGCAGACTGTATGACCTGTGAAATAATTCACGTACCTTGGCTTGATCAGATAGAGAAGTAGGAAGGCTAGAGCCAAGAACAAACACAGCCCACCAACAGTAAGGTATGCCACACCTAGTAGATAATTCTTTCCGCCAATCCAGCTTGCGGTTGAAAGTACCAACTTCTTATTGCCACGGAAGCTGTAAGTGTTATAATTATTCTCTATTGTCACAGTTATTACAGCATCGGCTTCAAGGTCCACTTCTATTCTCCCGTATAGTTTTCTGAAAGTTGGCAATGCTGCAGTTCGCATCCAAACCATAAGATCTTCTTGTTCACTCAGCTGTTGATTGCAGAACAAGACAAGGATATTAATTTAAAGAAATAAAATAAGGATGGCAAGTAAGGGGAACAAAAGACAGAAAGTAGGTGAGGAGATTTACAGGTATGCTAGAATTCAGTTTTGCTCCTCCAATCAAACCCCCGCTCTGAAAATTCTTAGGATAGACGTCTGAGCCAAATTTGTTCTTTTGGTCACTTTTCCATGTGATGTCCTTTTTGCTGACTCCTAGTTGTTTGTTATTCACTGAAAACTTGTATGTGTCGTTAAACAAACTCCATGCAACGAGACCACATGGAACAATTACACCCTTTGCTGTATAGCGTTCAGGAGCACAGTCATCTGTTGTATTTTCATAGGACTTGCTCCGCAGTTGTTTGTCGCTTCTACTTTTAACATACCTGGAAACAATAATAAACATACTACATAAGAAACAGAATCATAGTATTTCAGAAATTCAGAACAAGAGGGATAAGGGGAGAGGGGGTCAGTGGGGGGTGACGTTTTATAGTGTGGCCTTTTCAAGTTCGTATTAAAGTTTTCTGAAATTCCTGTAATAGAAATGCTACACATATAAAATGCTACAGAAATGATGTCCTAGGTAAACTGACAACTTCATTTTTCCATCTAAATAAATTACTAAACAAATGTAGGCATCATCTGATTAGACAGAGTAGCACCTCGAATCAGGTGGCAGGTGAGGGTTTTAACTTGTCGAACATACCCCTCAAGAACAACCTACACTAGACAGAAATGATTTGGTTTCCTTTTAGTTTCAGATAACAATTACAGTTCATCATTCACATTTACGGGTATGTATCCACATGTTGCGGGAAAATTTGACTACCTATGGAAATTGTCCGTAAGGGGACCTTATGTTTATTTTCAGATGTTTGGTGCACAGTACTGGCAAAGAGAAACAGAGGTTTCATGCATTTCCTACCCTAAATACTTCTAGTCAAAGTCGGGATATTACTTATGCAACTCCAAGAGTGATGTTAATGTTACTTATGGGATATCTAGGCACTCAAATTTCTGAAAATAATATAAGTCCAGGGCTTCCCAGCTTGTGCTGAGTATAATTTAAGTTTCTCTATGACCATGTTAGCAAACAGAAACTAGGCCTCTTCCATGAATGTTTTATATCAAACAGCCATGTTCATGTTCATGTTCATGTTCATGTCCATGCCATATATATATTCCATAAGAAAAAAATGATAGTTGACAAGAAAATTATTACATACCGGCGATGATTCTGATAGAAGTGATCAAGCTGGTAGTAAATGTAAACAGGGATTTCATTTGTTTCGGTATCTGAAAAGCCACCAGTAAATTCACATTATCAGAAGTATGTCTTATCAGCCAAGAAAAGCAGATAAATGCAAAATTAGTCTAAACATAACACTGGCTGAGGATCGTACTTACAGTGAGTTTCCTAACGCATGTCTTGTTAGTTTTACTACTCTGAATGTATGCAAGCATATTATCTGCATATTTAAGAGGAATGCAATCTTTGTCATAGTGGTGGACGATTTCCACCACCTGCATGTTAAACAAGGCAAAGTTTAGTTTCATGCTCAAGAATAATCAGCCGCCACTGACCAAACTTCACGATAAGCACTGCATAAAGAATATGAAGATATATTACACGCTCTGATGCAAATAAGGAAGCAAGTCCAATTGGTATAAAGACAATGCCGATGGCGACAAATATTAAAATGACCTGAAATCCAAAAAGGAAACACGATTAGAAACCAAAACTCACAAAACTGAAGCAAAACCAACACCTGAAAAGAAAAATTTAACAAAATGCAATGTAACCTATACCGACGCTGGTGTTAAAATTGGTTTGCAAGCTGGAAGCTCTTGCTGTGTGAACTTGGAATCTGTAATGCATCATAGCATGCACCAAGCATATTACTTTCGTTAGAATAACGCTTTAACACTATCCGAAAAGGACTGGATTATGCACAATGAAAATCCAACTGCATCTACTTTTATCTGTTTTTATATGCTTTCATGAATATATGGAAAATATGTTGCTGGATTCCTAGAAGAAAAAGTTGTGGTTTCTTCATAAACCAAATAAATTACCCTAGTGGATAGAACCCTCCTTTTTAACCCATTGCATCCCATCTTCGTACCCTCCCACTTTCCCCTGGTTTAGATGAATTTAGTGCTAGATTATTCTATCGTTTGTCAAATAATTACCAAATAAAGCACAATGAAGAAATAAAACATCCACATTCAAGCGTCCAAATAGAAGTTAAGCCGAAAAAACGATGGGAAAATGAAAAATAAACCAAATTAACATAAACAGAGACATGCATTCATGCTACACAAAGCGAGAATGAAACAAAAGGGAGTTAGAAAACGAACATTTGGGTTTTCTGGATTTCTTTTTGGTAGAGGAGGTTGGATTTGAGGCTCCATCTTTTGCTTCCATCTCCACGATCCCCTCCCTCTACAATGCCACTATTATTCACACAACAAAATTTGATAAATTAAGGAAAATGGAAACAACCCTTTTGAATTCGACCAAAAAAACAAGAACCCTTTTGGAAATTTGGCAACTTTCTTTGCAAATTTGGAAGCATGGGAGGATCAAAGTTTTTGCTTTTTGTTCGTTAATCTGAAATCCCACTTACCCCTTTTTTTTTTGTTGTTGATATTTTTGTGCTTTTTTTGGGTTCTTGATTGGTGATTTAGTGTGGAAGGTTGTTAGGAAAGACAATGGAACGAAGGATATGTGTAGCGTGTGCGTTTTGGTTGGTTTTTGTTTGATTTGGCAGGAGCGCAACAACCGGTCTTGTAGCTCCCAAATCTCGACCTAGTCCTCCTACCAGTCGTATGTTTATTCTTAGGCACTCTTCTACCCTTTTTTTATTTAACGACAATCGGCATAGGCCCCAAGAAAAAAGAAGAAGGTCACATAAAAATATCATGATGTCACGAACTTCAACTACATCTGCAACTAGAAAAGAGTTTGCTAAAAAAAAGGCGAGACCCAAAGGATAATACTATCCCATTTACTCACTCTCTTAAGTGACCCAAAAAAATTATGACATGTGTAATATAAAATTTTGCTCAAGTTCATCATGTTCTTCCATCCAAACATACACTTCTCCCTTTAAACCTATAGCCAAACACATTTAGAGATGGGCAAAATACCCATAGGTATGGGTAACTGTTTAAACAACGGTTATTGGTATAAACCGTTATATCCGTGAAATTTTTGGATTATAGGTATTACCCACGATTATAAACGGGTACCCGTTTAACCGTTTATTGGTTCAATGAACATTTTACCCTTACCTTCACTCGCTTACATCTCATTTGTTATAATTTTGATTTGCGAACGGTTTTCGCTTACACGTTCATGGAATCAAGCCCTATCCAAATATACTTAGTGTGATCTCGAAAGATTACTTGATTTGATAAAACTTAGAGGATCAGGTAGAAAACGAAATCCGATTCATGGATATGCCGCTGAGTGCTTCCAACAAAGTCAGATGATTTGTTTAGAACTTTACTTGAATATGGGCATTATGGGAAATTTGGAAAAATAACCAAACTTTGGATCCCAAATAGAATAATAGCCATTTTTCTAAGTTTATGATAATTATAACCAAAAGTTGGTGTACAATTACTAATTTACCCTTAATGACTTTAAAAATTTCCTTTTTTCCTCTTAACCGTGAAAAAACTCGTCGGTGATGCCCACCTGCAAGCCTCCATCTACCTAAATCTCGCAGTTCTTCCTCCCTGCTACGTCGCCTACATTAAGCTGGAGAAAAACCCCTTTTTTCTTCAATTATTTCCCACCCAGCTGGAAAATTGGATTAGAATTCCTCACCCAAAATTATAAGTTATTAAAAGATTGAAAATCTTGGAGACCAAAGGAAGAAGATGATGTTGAACAAGCAAGTACAACCGCTATCCAATACTAGAAGTGATAATCAAAGATAAAACCTAGATGGAAAAATTTGAAAAACTTGGAAGAAAACTCAATACCGCTCAACAATCATTGAATTTAGAAAGGACAGAAAAAGGCAAAAACGCCTGTGTGAAGTAAATGATCACATGCTCATCTTTTCGCTCGCAACTTCCCTTCGGAGCTGAATTGGATGGAGATCGAGTACAACGAGTATTCAGGTGGGTTTAGGAAAAAAGAGGAAGTATTTAGTCATCAAGGGTATATCAGTAGTTTTATATTAACTTTTGGTTATAATTATTATAAAATTAAAGTTGTGACTATAATTCTATATAGGGTCTAAATTTTGGTTATTTTTCCAAATTTCCCATTAAACATGGTTATTACAATCCAGACAACACGCTAGGCCAATAGCACTTGACAAGAAAGTGTGACCCGCGCGTTACTACGGGAAGTATGACCTGCGTGTTGCTGCGGAATTGAAAATTTTATGACATATTATGATTAAAAGATATAAAAGATAATGCATCCAATGATTGTGGACCTAATAATCATGTAAATGTCATCAAACCAAAGTAAACTTTCATTTAACTAAGTTCTTAGCACTTCAGTTAAATCTCAAGTTTTAAGTAGCTAAATTTGACTAAAATTATACAAAGTGAGGAAAAAAGACAGAACAATCAGTTGCGGAAAGGTGCACATGACACTAATCCTGCAAGTCAAGTATGACTGCAAGTCAAATATGAAAAATGTTAAGAATGTAGAAGTTTAAATTATCCCTAGCATCAGTAGATTAACAATGAAGAAACAAAATTCATATAAGTTTATATTGATTGTTGCTTGACAATTCAGCATGGGAAAAAATGCAAGAAAAAAATATTGTTAAATATCATGTGAATAACAGTGAACATTACATATAGTATAACATGAATATGCATGTGCATAGTAAATACTACGCAAGAATATGCATAGGCAAACAGTAACTATCAATTAACCATTTTAATTAACACTTTAAAAAGGTTGTTTAAGTATAAAAAGATCTAATACAAAGAATAGTACACTGAATATTATTAAAAAAAAATCCATGTATTATACAGACACTATGATTATGAAAATATATATCATTTGACAATACAAAATAAAACAATGTCTAAATATGACAAACAAATCCCAAATAGTGTTTTTGACCAAAAAAATAAAGATCCTAGATGGTGTTTATTTCAGAAATCAGAAACGTTAGATTGTATGCATTGAAACAATTAACAAATTTTCAATGAGCAATACTAATTATTTATTACTTAAGATCATTAAGTAATGATTGCTCACCTTTTCATCAACCAGTATACAGTGCAGACCTGTATATTTATCAGCTGTCATCAGAACAGGCAAACTTTAATTTTTACTACCTTTTAATACCGTTATCAGTTCTGATCCAAGTAAACTAAAAAAAAACCAATTATAATTAAAGATTTATCAGTCATAGGCTAAATCAAACAATGACTGTATCTCAAGAAGTGAAAGATAATTAGTTGTGCCTAGTTTTATCTCAACACTTCATATTACATCCAATTTAACTATTACAACAATATAGCGACACACATAACATAAAAATCTGTAAACCATATAACAATAGTAAATCAAGTAATTTGCAAAAATTAGAAATGTACCATAAAAAGTAAATATCTCATCTCATACGTGTTAAAATGATTAACAAATTCTTAGTCAATCGTATCTTATTAAGACTCATGGCTGAGAAAATAAGAAGGGAGAAAGAAAGAAATGAAACATTACCATAACAAATGCTTGCATAAAAAATCATTTACTTTCCCTACATCTTTGTCACAAAGGAACTTGATTCTCAATTGTATCGACGATTTGATGTGAGAAATTCTTGTCTGCATTCAGCCATTGTGGAAGGCTTTGGCGAAGTATGCATCAATTACTATGATTGAGAGGGCAAAGTTTTTATTGCAACAACGTCCTCCACTATATTTCCTGCTAATGAAAACCCAGCTCAAAAGAATTGTAATTCAATTTTAGAACCCTACTAAATTTAGGGTTGGCAGATCCACTTAAATTGAAATACTCTAAGTTTTGTTAAAGTTTCCAATGTGCAGGAGTGTAGTTTTGCATAATTGTTTTTAGCATAAGAGTATTTTAATTCTCTCTCTCATTAGCAACAGAACAAACCCTTGACCTATATGTAGTGTGTTTTGCTGTGTGTTTTCAAGGTCTCTTAACTGTGCAAAACTTAAAATTCAAATAGTCAACGGCCATACTTGAAACTAATGAATCAAAAATTAATAAAACATATAAAAATCATTTAGATATAAACAGTATGCAGAATCGTGAAAAATAAAAATAGAGATGCACTAACACCATAATTCATGACTATTATCCAAAATCTCCAAAGTAAACATACAATGAAATAGATAGATCAATTAAAAAAAAAATTCTTGCTACCCAAACAGAAAATAAGATGCAGATGAAGCAACACACCTAAAATGGCGCGATTGGTTTCTGGACAACAGCCAAAAAAATCCAAAATGCCTTTTTAGACGATGGAATTGAAATTGAAACGGACAGATAGACGATGAGATAGAGAGAGCAAATGAAAAGGAAAATAGACGGAACAAAATGGAAGTCAGGAGAGAAAAAGGGTGCAAATATCTCAATTTTTAATAATTGTTTTGTCCATATATCTTTTTTTTTTATAATTTTTTAATGTGTTGTTTGCCACAAAGCATTGTAGGGTCGGCGTGGAAGACAAAAAAAAAGCAAAACCAAAAAATAAAATAATCAAAAGGCAAAGCAATGGGAGATAGGTGGGCTTCTCAAAATTTTTAATAATTATTTTGTGCATGCATCTAATTTATTTATAATTTTTTATTATGTTTTGTGCCATATGGATCAAAGGTGAGATGGCGACAGGTATTGCAGGGAAGCATGCGAGGGGAAGTCATGAGAGAAAAAGGAAACAAATACCTAATATCAAAAGGACAAAACGGCAAAGCCGAGCAACACGCGGGAAAAAAAAAAAAAAAAAAAAAAAGATAAAGGAGATGGGTAAAAACGACATTTCATGTAGCATCTTCAAAATGCCAAAAAAGTGGGCGTTAGATCAGGGGCAAAACCGGAACGGCACTGTTAATGAACAGTGCCAATCCGCTGAGCTTTAGTATATATAGAATTTCTTACTTATCTAGCAAGCCCAGCCCCAAAGTCTCTTCTCAGGGAATAGCATTTGATTTCCCAAGTATTATCTAGACCCAAATTGCATGACAAATCCAAACAAGCCAAATCATTAGTAATAAAATTGTTTTCACGAAAATATGAAAAATTTTACAAGACCAATTTTGGTGCATAAGGGCACGAAAATTCAGTACTAAACTCTCAAGAGGGTGATTATCCACTTTTGCAGTTTAAAATCAATTGTACTGTAAATGCAGAATCCGATTCTACTATAATATTATTAATTCCATTATTCTATGCAACTTGATAGGGTGAAGTTTGCTTTTCAACCCCCTTTTCATATCAATCCTTGATTTTTTAATATTTCGATAAAAATATCGACAATTTCGTAGATATTTTAAACACTGCTTATAAGTGACATTTTTTCTTGACAGAGAACACAATTTTAAACCAACAGGAGATTCTGTCACTGTAAAGTAGATGAGACAGAGAGAGAGACAGTTTCCTTCTTCTCTTGGATAAAAAGAATTAAAGGTGGAAAATAGCTGGTTATGCCAAAGTCTCTTCGTCTGGTTGGTTCGTTTATTTAGGGTTGCTGAGGATTTAAAATTGTTAGTTGGTTGAATTGGATTAAATTGTTATGGCAGATGAATTGAACAACTGAAAACGGTATAATAATTTAGTTAGAAAGTTTAATCACCATGTAATATTATTGAGTAAATTTAGATGTGGGTTACGCTAATTGAGCAGGCCAGTGTCCGTTTTCTCCGTCTCCTTCACTCGAGTTCAAATCCTGCTCCCCTAAACTAAGCTAAATAGAGAATATCGTCTTATCAAAAGAAAATATCCTGATTTCATAGTGCGTAAAATCACAAAGTGTCAATGAACCAACACCGAACGGTTGGATTGAAAAATATGAATTGAAACCCTCGCAAACTGTAAATTTGGTATAATTTTATTACATAAAAACAAACTTTCATGATTCAATAGTTACCAACAACAATTTTTCTTTGCAAATGAATAATAGGGAATTAATGTTTAAGAAACAGAAATGGCAGTAGTCGCGGTTGGGTAGCTCAAATGGCAATCCTCAATCAAGC